ATTTTTAATTTTTAGAGGTTCGATCACCCGTGATTAAAGTGCAATTAACGAATTTTTATCGGTTAATCAACGTGTACACAATGTATTGATTTCTAAAGACTTCTTAACACTTTAGATATCTTGTAGTATAATTTAGATTTTTTAAGATTTTAAAAGATAAGTTATTTAAAATTTTAAAAAATCTTACAAAATTGTGAGATATTCAAGTTATGTTAAGAATTTTTAATATACATAGGAATGTCTAAGGAAAAGACCTTATAAAAAAAATCTTTAAATTTAAGATTTCACGTGATTCTTTTAATTTTAAAATGTCTCCAACATCAAAATTTCTCAAAATGCCACTCGAAATGTTAAGAGCATGTTTGTTTATAAGAATTTTCAAAAAAAAATTCAACATTTTAACTCAACCACTTTTTTTTTTTAACTAAACTTTTACTCAACACTATTGTCATTAATTTAATCAATATAACTAAATAATATCAATCAATCATTCATACACACCACATCAATCTTAATTGACTATTAATCTGCTCACATAATTTTAACTAACCATCACATCACATATTCTCTCTCCTACTTTTACTTCAATTTAATTTTATTAATTATTTTATTTTAAATATAATTTTAATATATCCACTAACAACTAACCATACCAATTTTTTCCAAATTAACCAAACCAAACCAAAATATCCAAACAAACTCAAAAAATTTCATAAACAAACACAAATGCACCCCCAATTTTACTTAGTGTATATACATATATATATATTGCTGATTTATTTTTAAGAATAATTTAAAAAATAAAAATCTAAGCTGCCAAAAATAGAATGTAATAAATATTGGTTGACTTTTCTTGTTACTATTTTTTATAATAGGTTTATATGTATACAAATACAAATATCTTTTGAACCCCTAATTAATAATTGGTTCATTTTTGGGTCTCACTAATATAATTAAGTCTTAATAGTTTTAAATCTTTTGGTCGTTGATAATACCCAAACAGATATCTCCTTTTATGATTGATAAATAAATAAATAAATAAATAAATATTAAATAATAACAAGAGTAATTATTTGCATTAAGACCCGTGCTTTGTACGTATAATTAATAGTATCACTAATATTCCACGATGAATGCATGATGTATTGTTGTTTAGCAGATTTTGGTTGAAAAATGCATGTGTTTCTTTCAAAGTTTTCAATTTTTCATTTTTAATAAATTCCACACGCGGTTTAGATTGAAGATCGTTTATTGTTTTGTATTATTATTATTAATTGGAGATAAAAGTTCCTAAATTATATGAAAGATGCTACGGTCTAGTTACAAAATTATTTTATCGGGATTTGTAACCGTTAGATCAATTATTTTTATTGATTACATGATAATCTAACGGACCAATCCAACGAAATAATTCCGGAACGAAACTTTAACATTTGTTTATATTATAATATGCAAGTTGTTGCTATTACAAAGTGTGTTGAACAATACATATATATAACTATTTAAAATTATAAAGTAGACCCAAACATTATCCATCTCGAGTGGCTCAAATATTTTTTCTCTCTCTCTTTTTTATTTTTTTTCTTCTTTGGATCAATTTTTGTTTTTAGTTACTTCCTTATATTAGCCCACTGTGTTTTATATGAATCCAAATCTATTAATATATAATAAGGATTAACTTAATTCATTTTTAGAAAATCTTTCCCGCCAAATTCATTAATTACACTCTAAAAATAGTAACTTAACACACTTTCATTAATTATTGCTTAATTATATGCCTCTGTTTTTCCCATTTTTTTTCTTTTATGATATGGAATGAAAATCCTAATCAATCTCCTATTTTTGTCTCCATATCAATCACAAAGATAAAAAATTGAAAAAAATAGTAACAGGATTTTTAATTTTCGGTACAATAACAAGAATTATTTTGAAGTTACATATATTCGTTTTTGTTTAAAATATTAGATAGATTTATTTTTGATGAACCCAATTATATAGATTCCATAAATATTAATATTGTAATGTAGTGAGATATTCTACACGTTGTGAACTTATATTTCCGAAATCTCATATAATAACTAAAAATTATTATATATATATATATATATATATATATATTAGTATTTACGAGAATCTCGAACACACTCTGTCATTCAATTGTCAATCGTTAGGAAAATAATTTCTCATACTATTAGCAGAAAAACAAAACGATTATGGACTAATCAATGTGCTTGATCACCATTTATGAACATACAAAAAGTTGAGAAATCCATAGTAAGTGCTAAACAAAAAATGGACCAACCTTTCGTTCTTATCAAAGATGTGGAAAGTACAAAGAGAGTTATGTTGCAACTTCTGAAAATTCGAAAGAATTAGAGGAAGAAGATGTTTATGCAATTTGCAACTACAAAGTGGAAAGAAATCTTAGTAAATATGGATCTGCAATTATCAAATACAAAATAATTTTGCATAGAAAAACAAAAATCATAGCCAACCCAACCTATTTCTCTATTTTCCGTTTTGATTTTTGAAATTTTGCAACATTTTGTGATGTGAAAAATGTCGATGAGTCTTCACTTTTCGATAAGAATAACTTTCGAATATATTCATTATCATATCTAACAATGATTAAATAAATATTTTTTTATTTCATATGAATGTAGATATCATTGGGTCGGTAGTAGAAATTCAACAAATGCAATTCAAGCAAGTTGCACGACAACATACCCAAATGATTGACTTTACTCTTCTCGATTTGGAGTAAGTATTTACATAAAGGTATTTAATTGTTATATACATTTAAGAAAAATTTATTAGTTTGAAATTATTATTTTATCTATTATAGGAACAATACTATTAGTTCTGAGAGTCGTTATAAAGGCAAAGGCTATCCATGAGTTCTCATAATGTAGCTTCGTAGAGCAAGATTGTGTGGTGGTAGTATTAAAAAATTAAAGTATTATAAATTTTGATATTTTTTAATTTTGCTTTTTTATATATAATAATGGTGGAGCAAGGCTGTGGGTTGGTTGTATTAAAAACCAATAATGTTATGTACAAAGAGGTTTTTAATAATGTATGACTTTTTTTATGACGAATATTTTAGATCAAGTGACAAATGCTCTACGTATTATACGTTATTGATTAATAACCTTCAATTTATAAATTTTACCAAAACAAATACAGCCCGTGCATCGCACGGGTTACATACTAGTAGAACTCTATTTAGTTTTCTTGTTAATTAATTATTCATTCATTTGTATATTACACGGAAATGACGGAATGCTGATTTGTATTAGTCATTCATTTGTTAAAATATGCTAATTTGTTAATTAGTTATTCATTTGTTAATTTGTATATGTATTTAAATTATATTTTTTTGACCACGCATTGCATGAGTGCATGACTATGCAATTTGACGCAATGTTGTCAAAATTGCTTCAAAATAATAAGACTTGGACTGGATGCTTGATATAAAAAGTTATGATTTTGTTTGAATTTTTTGGTTTGGTACGGTTAATTTAAAAACGTGGTATGATTAGTTAGTGAAATTTTGAGTTTATATCAAAAGAATATTTAAAATTAAATAAATTAAAATTGATATGATGTAAAAGTTGAGGTAAGATGATGTGAAGTGATGATTACTTAAGATTTGAATGCGCTGTGTGATGGGGACTCTGGCTGATAATTAAGATTTTTTTTTATATTTTTTTTTTATGTTTTATTTTTTTTAGAATTGATAATTAATTAAGATCTGGTCGGGTGTGTGACGGTATAATTATGACTACACGCACCAACGTAGACCAGTCAAGGGCAATAGGAGGAGAAAAAGGGTATTTCCTTTTCTCCAAAATTATTTCATATTTTATTATTATTTGTTTTACATCACAAAAATAAATTTTGCAGGGGGACCCCCAACCTATTAATGAATTTCAATTTCCAAACATGAACGATAAAAAAAAAAGAAGGAGAAAGGACTTGTGACAAATTGATTTGAAAATATAATTTTTTGTTGTAAAAAAATAAATAAAGAATTACTAACTTTGGTTTAAAGTGGGGATTATGATGTGTATTGTTGCTCATGCAATAATTAATGGACCATGCACCATATAGGGACATTGACTATTATAAGTAGAATTTTAATTTTACCTAATATATTGAAAGCTGTTAACAACACACATTCAATGATAATTTTGACTAACAAGTAACAACTACAGCTACAAAGCCAAACGAGACGTTCGTGAACTCGACCGACTCAGTGGCGGAGCCACCAGTATGGCGAGGCATGGCGGCCGCCATACCTGGCCGCCGGCGAACACCCCCCCACCCCCAGTTCTGTGAGTGTCCAGACGAGGATCGATCGG